CCGTTCCATGCGCAGTCGGTACGTGAAAAACGGGTCACTGATAGCTTGCACTTCATTGTTTTATCGCAGTGGCTGGAGACTACATATTCTGAAATGGTACATTTGATGTCAAGTTGTTCCTTTCGTTTTTTTTTCTGGTATGAGTCTTCACTGATCATTATTAGCACCTTAGAAAAATGCGCCAAGAAAATGGCTTACCGTAAATTGTACTGTAGCCGTTCTGCTTTACATCTGTCTTATTTGCTTCCTTGGCGTTTTCTTTAGGAATGCCCCTTTTCCCGTTTCAGCGGCGCTGTTTTTGATCTGCTGCGTGCTCTGCTGTACCCTGTACGCGCGCGAGGGCGTGTGTCACCTGTTCGACTTCCCGGAGGAGCTGCGGCGCCACGCCAGCGGCGAGCACTTCCTCACAGTGGACGAGTTCCTGGAGCTGGAGCGACGCCATCGGCTCGGCCTGCCCGTCGAATCGCTGCTCGAACTGGAGAAGAAGCGGCGGTCTGAGGCCGGCGCCGGGAATCCTCAGCTAGACGGCGACCAGCCTGTGGCGGAGGAGGGCTGGCCGCAGTCTGAGGGTGACGCGGACACTTGGGCCCAGCCCCAGGATCCACCGACCAGTGACGCCGCCTACATGTCGGGGCAGTCAGACGCCCGAGTGGCGTCATCCCTGGCGGACATGCGCTCTCCTCAGGCGCAGTGGAGCGCCCCGAGGATGCGGAGGTCAATGTCGCTGGATCGCGCGACCAACCGAGGCGCAGATGAGCTCGGCAGTCGGCCTGGACAGTATGCTATTCCCACAGACGCACCAGCGTCGCCCGGCGCAAGTCCGATGCAATATGACGCTCCTCCTCAGCAGCAGGGAAGTGAGTTCCCGAGACAAACGCCGCCCGGTGACCGTCGTGAGCCGGATCCCACAACCGGGCAGCTGGAGGCAGGCCGAACAGCTCCTGAGACTGCTCCTAACGCTTCTAACCCTGCTGACGACGCAAGAAGAGCACCTGCCGACGACCCCCGGTATCCAGCAGACTACCGTCGTCCCAGCCAGCCGCAGGACAGTTTTGGAGCGGACCGCGGATACCCGCGCCGCTCCGACCCTGAACTGTCGCGTCGCGCTGCTGAGCGAGATTACGACCCCAGGGGTGTCTACGGAGGACCTGGGAGGCCTCCGGACGGCTACGACCAGTGGTCTTTGAGAGATCGACCATACGACGGAGGTCCCCCTCCGCCAGAAACTTATGACCGGTCTCCGCACTTGGCCGACAAGCGTGATTCTAGGAACCGCGATCCCGCCGACCGACCTCCACTAGGAGTGGAACGACCTGGAGTTGACCGACAGCTGACGGACAGACAGGGACCGGAGGTTGGGCGCAGGTATTCGGGTCTGCAGCGATATAGCTCCCCGCCAACGGCTGCAACCGGCGGACGAAGGGTCTCATCCAGGGACGGTGCCATCATGCCACCATCTGGAGACAGGACGCTTCAAAATGACTATAAGACGGACATTCCTCCATCAGCAAGAGGTGATGTATATTCTGCTGGAGCTCCTCGACAGGATTTACCTCCTAAGGGTGGTTTGGATGATCCTAGGCAAAGAGTTTATCCTCCGGAGGATCCCCTACGTCCTGATGCCGGACGGAATGCTCCGAGGGATGCACCCCACCAGTACGTTCATTCCGATAGGGGCTATCCAGACGAAAGCCGGCAAATGTATGCAGATCGGGATCTTCAGCACAGAGCTCCCTCCGGTGGCAGACTTGTGTACGACGAATATGATTACCCTCCACATGATGCCAATGGTTCACGGTACGCAGATTTCCCAGATAGTCGTACTCGTTTATATGATGATCCACGGGGACCGCCAGGTGGTCAGCGATATGATTCTGATAGTCGCGGAATGCCCCAACAACAGGGTTACGATGCTCCTGAGCAAGTCATGCAGTACGATCGTCCTGTCTCAAGAAGAGCTTCCCAAGCCTATGAATATGTCGACCAGGGTTACGCTCCGCATCCTGACGTGAGGGACGGGGCATATCGACGAGGGGAGGGTGCCCCATCTCGAGTCTCTTCTCAGGGCTCCCTCTCCTATGGGCGAAGATCAGATGAACGGTTCTTGCCACCTCAACAGCAACTGGTGGATAGCTTTGGCCGACCCATTTCAAATGGGACGGATATGCGTGAACCTCGGGGGATTCCTCCCAGACCCCCGGACTATCCAGGGCGCTCAGTTCCAGCTGATCGCGCTGAATCTCGCCAATGGGTCACAGGAGCAGACGGTAGGCGGTACTTGGCTCCAGTCAGTTCGGGGCGCAGTGCCACGGCGCCGTCCACGCCCCGTCAGTGGTCCGGAGTACAGTCGCCGCGTATGGAGTTCCGTGCGGACGGCCCGGGCAGCTCAAGGATTTTCGGCAACACCATCAGACCTGTTCCAGTGGGGATTTATGGTGAAACTGTTGATATAAACGGCCCAGATATGTCAGGATATGACAACAGAGATGGCCAGAAACCGTATGATGACCGATATATGGAAGATCCTCGCCGAAGGGAGAATGACCGGCAAGATAGAGACGATAGGCGAGCCTTAAATGATCCGTATGGCCGCAGTGAGGAGACTCGCCCCGATCAGCAGCCTGCAGCTCCTCGACCGTCGGGTCTCTTACAGCGCGTGCGTTCGGTGTCCGTCAGTCGGATGTCGCACTCTCTTCGTCAGATGGTGGCCGGCAAGCAGCAGCCGAGCTCGCGCAGTCGCTCCGAGGAGCCCCGCGACCTGGCTGGAGACAGTCCTCGCGGCTCGGCGGCCTGGCTGCTGCACAGGATCCGCTCACTGCGCGGTGTGTCCGAGCAGCCGACGGTGTCATCGCGCAGCAGTCAGCGACGGCGGCAGGAGCGCCGCACGGACCGCCTGAACCGGTCGCACGGGCCGCAGGACAGTCTGACCGGGTCAGAGGGGGCCGTCAGTGGGGCGGCCGACTGGCCGTCCTCGGTGGAGGACCTCGAGGAGGGTGAGTACGTCAGCCCGTCACGGAGGGACGGAGAGGGAAGTCGGCATCCAACTCCGCTGCCAGCCGGACAGGACCGTGCAGGACTTGATGAAGAGTTCCCGACTGAATTACAAACACAAAGTCCAAGACAAGGAGCGGAGAGTGACGTAACGAAACCGCCCGATGAAGTGTCAGCAAAGCAGCCTTCACCAAAGCCAGAGCCCGTGCAGTATGTTCTGGAGGAGCATGATGGACGAAAACGGATCGTCGCTGTTGCCACTGATCTGCCTGAAGCCGATCAGTTTGTTGGAGATGCGCTGGAGCCACCAGCCGGCGACCAGCGAGCAGTCAGCGATTACTCTGGTGACAGTGATGAGGATGCTGCGAAGAAGAAAGGCCAAAAGAAACGCAAGGTCAGGAGTGCTGTTAAACATCTACGATCTGATGAGTCGGCAAACAGCCAAACTAAGAGGAAGAAGTCCAAGGCCAAAAAGAAGAAAAAGAAACATTCCCGCAAGCGATCGAAATCCAGTCGAAGCACGAGCAGTTCAAGTAGCTCTTCGTATGAGAAATCAACGAAAAGATCTAAGCGGCACAGCGCTTCTTTGTGCGGAGACAGTGATCAAAGCGATTCTGATGATTCCGACTACGACGTAGAATCTTACGAAGATAGCCAAGTGTCCTTAGCAGAGCATGGCAGGCGTCTTGCCCGTTCGGGATCCCGAGACAGTCACAGATCTGCTAACCAGCGGCGATACCAGGCTCACAGGGACAACAGGTTCAGCGAGAGGTCCATGTACGGCCAGCAGGACCGGCGGCCCTACCAGGGCCACCACCACCACTCGCCGCGGCCATCCCCGGCGCCGGGCAGGAGTCGCTGGGACTCGGGCTCGCCGGGCCGCGGCGGTCCGGCCCGGTCCGAGACGCCGCCCGACCGGGAGCTGACCCCGGACAGGGGCCGCTCGGAGCTGAACCGGCACGGCCAGCCGCGACACCGGCCGGTCGTCTTCCAGAACGAGTCACTGCGCTCCTTCGTCAGCCAGCCGCCGCGGCGCGCGTTCGTGCAGCGCGGCCGGCCGCCGCGGACGGGCCGGGGCGCCGTGCCCGCCTGGATGCGCCGGCCGTTCCAGACCAACCAGTCCTTCATGTGGCAGCAGTACCCGGAGTCACCGCAGCGCGGCAGGGCCAGGGGCTCGCCGACTGGCCACCAGGGCCCGCGCACGCCGCCGCTGCCCTCGCCGCCCCCGGGCCCCGACAGACAGTCGCCGTCCACCACCCCGCCGCGCCCCCCGCCGCGTCCCGGCCCGGCCGTGCGGGCGGACCCGCGCACCAGGCCGGCGAGGGACCCGCGGCTGTGCGCCGCCAGGACCCAGGCGGCGCGCGAGGCCGCCGCCCGCGAGTGCCAGATGAGGAGGGCTGTGCTCGGAGAGACGAGCCGAGAGGAGGTCGGCTGCACCAGTAAGCTCAAACGGTTCTTCGATGAATGATGTGTCAGGCAGGACTATTATTCGGTATTTGTAGTCTTCGGAATGCATGTTTAATTGACTGGACACATCCAAAGTTTGATGAGACTTTGGGAGTGATGTGTTTGGTGTAAATAACGTTTCATATCTATCCATTTAACTATGTATGTTGACTGTTGTTTCCGTGTGATATACAAGAGTGCTGTAAACGTGATGTTGGTGATCTCAATTCCGCTTGGTCGTCTACACACGTAATACGCCGTTGGGCAGGGTTTGCCGGTCTTATAACAACGATTTGCAAAGGGGGAATCATAAGTGCTGATGACGTAGTTAGTGTATGTATAATCGTGCACATGGAAAGACGCATGCTTTTTAGATATTCGGCTGATGCTGTCACTTTTTCACCCTAGGCCACTGAAGGATGTATTCGTGCTCGTGGACGTTTTTAACGAAATATATGTATGTTCGGTAACTGCTGCCATCATTTTAAATGTTGAATATACGGCGATTGGATGAACATTTTGTGATTCATTGCTACCGAATAAGGAAAAGATTGCTCACAAGTTGACATGTAAATTGAATGGCTCTATGTACTTATTCTTAAAACGCACTCACAAGATTCTTTGGTTGATATGTACAATGCTTACACGAGGACGTATTCTACGTTTCTGTTCTTTTGGGCCGCTCACATGAGGTGCAAAATTCCGATGCGTAGGTATTAATTCCCCTTTGAGCGAATTAGAACGAGATAAAATAAACTAAGCTATGCTGACATGTAGGTAACGGATTCAAGACCTCAAAAGTCAGATTAACATCTCTTCGCATTAATAGCACCGCGCACTTTAAAACTGCTATAGTATGTAAATAAATGCAGGGGCCCAAAATAACGCATTAAAAGGTTATTGGTGCTCGCGACACACGCAAAACCGATGCACATTGCACACGCATGGCTAGGCACACATGACTCTTCACTCAGGTTCTAGCACGCCCCACCACTTGTGGTAACCTGGTCTGGAGTTTCTTAATTTCATCATCATTGAGTGAACTCACAAATCACATCAGACGTAGCATTCACAGTCGCCATTCACAAGCAACAGTTCGCATTCGCGGATGAGTGCTGGCCCTTGAGTTACTGCGTCTCTCTCAACCAACACTGTCCATCCTGCCGCCGGAGACACTCGATAGGTAAAGTAGTACCGCAGCGCCGTATCTCGTATTGTCATCACACTCTCCATGTAGGAACGTCTGAGGCCATCCACACCAGTGACCAGAGTTTCGACTAGAGTAGAGCATTCCATCACTATAAGTCGCACTGGCCAGTCACTCTCTGCACTATTTCCACTCTTGTCCACATGTCCACCAGTTCGAACACCCGTCTCACCGTCAATCACTACACTTCGTCCGGCTCGGGATTCTGCAGGGTATGCCACTGAGCGATGGGCCGTCTCGGCGCCGCCAGCATGTCGGTCCAGTGACGCAGCTCGGCTCCCGTTGCCTGGCAACCGAGGACGCAGCGTCCGATGGGGTCTGACGATCCAATCCGATCGTAGTCCACCACTGTGACAATCAGCTGCACCTTCTGAGGATAATCAAACAGAAAAAAAAATTGGGGGTACGACAGCAAGCTCCAACCTTTTCATGGAAACGATTAGCAGCGATGCAGAGGTTAGAGTTAAACGACGAGCATAACTCGATGCTATTTAATTATGATGACACATCGACCAGTGCATTTAAACATCTAACACTTGAATTATGACATCGCATATGGAATTGCTAGCCTCGTTGGCCTGAAAGCTAAATCATATGCTAGGCGCCACTACGACTTCCATATGGATAGAAACCAGCTGGTTACGAGCTGACCACTGACCAGATCGATGGACCTGATTAGGCCAGATGTGCTTCCTTGAATAAGCCACATAGCACTGCATCATAATCTGCCCAGTGTCCAGTGTCGGTGCTGATAGGCCTTCAGGTCTCCATGATGGTTATTACTGTTAACGAGCTCTGTTTGGGTCAGCACATAGCTCGTTGCCATGTCGGCACCGAACAGCCCCTTTAGACTGCGAGGGAGAGGCATGCTGCACCGCAGTGCACCTGGGTGGTTAGGCTGTGCCGCAAATCACGTGCGCCTGAAGAGATACTATGCCGCACAGCACGTGCGCCTGAAAAGATGCTGTGCCGCAGTTCACGTGCGCCTGAAAAGATACTGTGCCGCACAGCACGTGCGCCTGAAAAGATGCTGTGCCGCAAACCGCGTTGGCCTGAAAAGATGCACTAGCAGCGCACCGCAGTGCACTAGAAAGGAGAGCGATAACTGCCACTTCCAAGCTCCAACACAGCCCTCTTACCTCTATTTGATTTCTGTTGATCTTGTCGAATGTCATGCTTTCGTTGAAATACGGATTTAGCGTATTTCTTTTCACTGATGTTTTCTTCTTTTTGGGTTTTCTTTTGCCAAGAATCACTTCTACCTTCACATATGGATCTGGAAACATGCGTTATGTTACAAACTGGCTACGTAGAAGTGGCCCAAATGGAGTCGTCCACCTGCGTTCGGTTAAATAAGAGTTGATTTTATGGGAAGATTTTTAGTTTTATTCATTGCCACTATGCCCGATTCACTCGATATTCCAATAACATGAGCAATAAAATGTTCCGCAAAAATGAGCAATAAACATGAGCGATAAGTGTGCATGATAAACGTACTTGCATTGAGCATCGACTGCCACTTCATTTATAATTCGCATTGTACATAATTCAGCCATGCATTTGGGAAGAATGACATGGATTATGCCTACATTTTATATTATGCCGGAAGAAAATCGATTTAAGTGACGCTGTATTTCATCGACAGCGTGGATATCTCACCCGATAGGCCTCCCACGTCCATCTTTTTCAGATTTTTTGCTTCCAGAATTGTCACCGTCAGCTTACTGGACGTGGGGACGTATCGGATCGAAAAACAAATGTCGCCCAGTTTCTTGTCCTGCGAAAATACAAATTGCCATTAATTGCTTACTTCCCAAACGCCACGTCTTTCTTCCTATTACCGACGAAATGAGTATCTTGCGACAAGATGTGATCCATTCTGTTCTCATGGTACTATGTTTTACAATTTCAATGGGTAATAACTGCATTCTGTCAACTATATGACGCTCTCCTTTATCCTCCTCCCCCCCCCCAGTACAGTTTTCACACGTTTTCCTATGACCCAACCTGACCTGTTCCGCGTCGCTCTCGACGCTGACGAGCTCCCTGCACTCGTCGATGACATTAGCGAGGTCGACGTGCGACAGGGGCAGCTGCACCTCGCCGATCTGATCGTGCTTGGAGAACCGGTCGAAGTCGAACACGGCAAACACCAGCGTCTTGTTCATCGCGTCCGCGTAGGGCAGGCTCTGACGACAGGAACAGACTCGCGATCAGAAAGGTGATCGCGAGTATGATGTTCCGTTGAAAATTTACTGGGCATAGCCATGGATGATATAACACTGGATTGGTGTCTCGTGGAAATTAACATTGGGATCCGCGACATTGGGATCAGGCCTGCCATCTAGCGAGAGAATTATCGTAAGTTAGGAGCAAGCCGAGTGAACGCCATCTCTCAGCATTATGACACACGTGGGTGTGGTGTGTTAGTTGGCTCGAAATGCATATTCCCACGAGTTGGAGGTAATCTAACTGGACCTGAGACGACAAAAATGTCTTAAATGCTTGAAAGCCAAAAACGTCAAGCAGCCTTTAGGTAATAACGAAAATAAAATGCGTAAGACGGTGTGCATTGAAACGCCCAGTCCCATTGGCTTGTACGAGCTTTTATATGGCCATTTACTCACAATGGTACAGCAGTTTGACAATATGTCATACATATTTGGTAGGCTTATTCCTTCTTCTCCGAATTTCGCCCGATTTTCTTCAGCTTAGTTAAGGTTACGGCACGTGTCACGTGCCAACTTAGGGGTGTCGAAATTGTTCCACATGAAGTAACTCCGCAATGGCTGGGCCCATTACGGTAAAATTTCGTCAATAGTTAGGCACCCAGTGGCCAATGCATTTCCATGTGTCACTATGGGGGTGCTACTGCACGTGCGCACGTGCAGGGTGCCGCTTCCATATCTCATGAAGGGCTGGGCGGATAACACTCAAACTTGGTACACAAATGTCACATCGATGCTCGCACTGCATTGATCAGTGCTTACATTGGAGTCGTTAGGAAAACGATGAAATGAGATGCGTGGTGTTTATGCCTTTCTGTTCCAGCAGCTGATTGATCCGCAACAGGAGATCCTTGTTTGTGAAGGCTTCGTCTCCCTTTTCCACTCCTTGTTTAAAATAACATTAACAATGTACGAAGAAGATCGCACATCAAAGTTGTTTTAGGCGGCTATCTTGGGCCAGGACTGCGGGGTTATAGTCAGAGCCAGCGGTTCTGTTCCGACTCGGAATCGGTTGATTTTTAACAGCTGTAGTCGGAGTATGAGTCGAACGTCACCGAAAAGTCATCGACTCCACAGACTTACCAGGGGCCGTATTCACGTCGATCATTTTCGTAAGAACTTTCTTAAGTTTGACCTACTTCTTAAGTTAATTTTTTTAATCACGTGAACTCCGTCGATAAAAACTTAAGAAGTGTCGACGTGAATACCAAATTACACTTACGAAAGAAAATCGACTTACGAAGTCGACGTGAATACGGCCCCAGGGCTGCAGAGTCGGAGTCTGTGTGAATCGACAGTTCTGCCCGAAGGAGTCGGAGTCGATATTTGGATACCGGAATCGGAGTTGGAAACAAAGTCACTGAAATTTCATCGACTACGCAGCACTGGTTGGGTCCTTTTCATAGAGCGTCTTGAATGGCATATTGAGCGGCAATGACGTTAGCAATTCCGTTTAACTTTTTCATTAGACTTATAGATAGTACTTACGTTCGTTTTGTTCTTTGATCGGACAATTTGTTTGATTTAGGCCAAGTGAAGACTCATGTGAAAAATAGCGAAAACGACACGTGCTGGCGAAGTCTCCAATAACTCCCTGTTTCATGATTTAATGAGGAAATAACATGGAACTGCTTATCTTATTACTGACCCTGCACATAAATCTATTAATTTCTTCGCTTTTACTGACATATAAAGACATAACCTTTTGAAAAATTGCACAACAAGCCTGCTACTACACCACACTCCCGTGTGTCACAATGCTAATCAGCGGCGTTCACTCGGCTTGCTCCTAACTTACGATAATTCTCCCGCTAGATGGCAGGCCTGGGCTCAATGTCGCCAAAAACTGCGAAGACACCAATCCATTATTATCTCATCCATGGCATAGCTATAGAGTCGATGGAAAACGTGAATAAATAACACCGACAAAATAAAGGTTCATCCCGTTTTAAGAGAAAAAAATGGACTTTGGATATGCCATGCGTATTAACGATCCCGCGGTTACCTACCTTGAATTTGAAGGTCTCGTTGAACCAAGGATTCAAGGTATTCTTCTGTACTTTTGTTTCGAATTTTTTCTTCTTCTCTGGCAGAAGGTAGACTTTCACATACGGATCCGAAGTTCCGCCGACATCCAGCGCAGGGAGTCCTTCACAGCGAACGACCACGACTATCAGAGTCTTGGCGGTGAAATCGTACTCCAGCTGAAATAGGAATTGGTTACAGATCGGTGCTCTACATACCTAAGTCACTGTTACAAAACTGAGACAGCATTGATGGTCTGTTTTATATTAATCTCTAAATTTCTGTCCAAACTTCTGCAAAAAAATCACCACCCAACAGCCTTTGTCACGCTTCCCTGCCATTACATATCATACACCTGCAGGCTGCATCAACAGCGTCATCGGTGTCGTATCACCTTGAACTGAAGCCTCCCGATACTCTGAGCAGCATCCTCCACGCCGAGGTCAGTCTGGTCTCCGCCGGTCTGACTGCCAGTCTGCAGATGTCGAGGGAGGGGGGAGGGTGGATTGTGGTGACGCGGAGATAAGATCCGTAAGTCTGCGGCTGACTAACGCCCGGCTCTGAGCTGCTAGCTTTGTCATATTGATGGTTTTAAGCTGGGGGACATCTATTGCGACAGCAACAGACAGGGGCGTAGGCAGGGGGGGGCCACTGGGCCATGGCCCCCCCCTTGGGCGCCGAAGGCGCCCTTTGCGATTGGAGGGCGCCGAAGGCGCCCTCCAATCGCAAATGCAATTGTGATATAATCGAATCGAAAAACAATCGCGACTGGAGGGCGCCCTCCAATCGCGAATGTGTTTACAGGGAAAATACGGATGGAGGGCGCCCTCGGAGGACGCCCATTCCAAATACGCCCTCCAAATACGGTTGGAGGGCTCCCTCGGGCGCCCTCCAACCACATTTGTAGGCTGTAGCTCTCTAAGCGTAACGGTGGTCGCCTATGTAAGCCGCTGTCCCGTAAATAAGCGCCCTCTCACCCGAAGGCGCCCTCCTGTAGGTCGCCACCCTGCTACATATTGCCGCCCTTCTGCTGATCGGCGTCCTCATAATTATTGGCGCTCTCCTGCCTATTGCCCCCTCATGTGAAATTTTCAAGGCCGCCTTTCTCCTTTTTGGCACCCTATTGTTCAGTGCCGCCCTCCTACCTATTGGTTCCCTAGTCCTTCCTGTTGAATGTTAATCGGGGCCCTTCTCTTATTGGCGCCCTCGTGTTGATCGCCGCCCTCCTAACCACTGGCACCCTCCTGTTGATCACCGCCCTCCTATCCACTGGTACCTGCCAGTTGACCAGCGCCCTCCGCACAGACGCCCTCCTGTTCGTGTCATCCTCTTGAGCAAAGGCGCCCTCCTCACCATTGCCACCCCCATTTTAATCGTCACCCTTCCGCTCATTAACGACTTCCAGTTGATGACCGCCCTCCCACCTATTGGCGACCTCTTGTTGATCGCCACCCTCCTATTGGTGCTCTCCTGTTCCTCGCCACCCTCTTACCTGGTGGCGCCCTCCTGTTGATTGTTGATCGGGGCCCTCCTACCTATTGGTGCCCTCCTGTTGATCGCTGCCCTTCTATCCATTGGCGCCCTCCTGCTGCTCGCCAACTTCCTACCTATCGATGCCCTACTATCGAAACTCGGGATGTTGATCGGGGCTCTCCTACCTATTAGCGCCCTCCTGTGGATCGCAGCCCTTCTACCTATTGGCAACATCCGTTGATCGCTGCCCTCTTATAATTTATTTACTCCTTTGGCATGTTTTTCAACTTAGTCGTTCTATTGCACATAGTTGATGTCTTGCCTGTGAAAACTGCCACAAATGAACGTGCATTCAGCACAATGAATGAAGTACCTATACCTACCAAAACTATCTACGCTCTACGATGCATAAAACACGTCTTTGGTCTTAACGGATTGATCCTACTTTACGTGCATCATGGCATCTATATGGATTACGATTAAGTATTGTCAACAGGTTCGGCCGCAACAGCAGGCATCTGAAGTTTCGGTGATTGAAACTGGTTATGTGGGTACACTGTATGCATCTGTGAGAAGGCTATGAAGGCTGGTCTGAGGTAATTTGGATGATGTTTACGCATCTCGCGCTCCGGTATCAATCCGATACGGTGATTTGGTGCGTAGATATGCCACCGCCAATAAACTTTTATACATCGACACCCATGAGCCAAGCTTTCTATACAGTTTGTGTGGCAGCGGCCCGACCAAACCTTAGGTATTTTTTACACCTTCAAATTTGGTAAAAGAGCGAGAGGAGCTTTGAACGGTGATCGTATAAAAGGCGTGCCTAAAAAGCGGAGGAAAAGGTTGTTTTCAAAAATTTCGCGCGCCTTCGGCGCAGCATTTCAAGAACACTTGACCTTTTGTGACCTGGAGTATAAAGAATACACACGATGCAAAATCAATGCAGCACGACCTATACGAGGTTACGCAAAAAAAAAACTGGTGGCATGGTAAAAAACGCCTCCCAACCCCCCCCCCCACCCCGCTGAGCGATTTTTTATCTCGCGACCGTATGGCGCCCTCCTTGGGTGAGGTGGCGCCCTCCAAACCCTTGGCCCCCCCCTTCGCGATTTTCTAAATACGCCGCTGGCAACAGATATACAGGTTCAAAATAGATGTGCAGAATTGTTATAGAGGTATGCTATGTTTCATTGAACAAGACACAATAATTGCCATTCAAGAAGCTACTCTTGTTGATTGATGTTGTAGTTACTTTTTGTGACGATTTATCGTTGCCTATTCTGTTGGAGTATTGTGGCAAGATGACTTACAAGATGGAACATAGCAAGCAATGCTCCTCTCTATCTTCAATCTCTAGTGCATTGTTACTATTTTTATATACAGTGATAGAATAACTATACACATTCAGATTATTACCATGGCAGTGGCCAAATTTTCAGCTGAAGTGAACGGAATTCGTTACCAAATCTCAATGCTCGTTTTTATGCAGAGTTCTCACCTTTCCACTGGACCTCCGCGAGGACTTGTTGTCGGCTACCTCCTCGTCCTGCACTTGTGCTCCGTTCCCTCGGCAGGGACGCAGGCAGAGTCGAAAACACCAGAAACATAGCGCCAGAATCAGGATACCCACGCCTGTAACACGCAGAATTATTAAAATTAATATCGCATATCAGTGAGAAAGAGAAAAAAAGGCGGTTTATTGCGGGCTAAGCCCGATCTTTTGGGGTGTGACTTTACCCGCGTAAGCGATACCAACATTGTGCAATGCCTGAAATATATGAACAGTGACAATTTATACGTTTATGATAGGAACGGGCGAGAGGATGTGCCGCCTTTCTTCACTTGCCTAACCAAAAATCATACCTGCGTTTGAATGAAGCCGTTTGAATTCGATGCAGGCACATAACGTAGTCCTACGTGTACGTGACATACGAATGTACCGACACTGTACCGTGCAAATGTTCATTCGACGAAACATGCAATCGCGCGTACATTAAAGCGAAACATGCAAATTCTCATAAAAATACGGCAGAGCGTCATTAGTCACGACCTTCTATTATTCATTCGGACCAGAATAGGCAAGCCCAAACTCCAAACACAATTTTAGCTACATTGCAAGAAGATGAGTTGTGGATTCGCATAGAAGGACACGCAAACCGATCATTAATCACGATGCGCATCCTGTTGAAGTCGACGTCAACACAATATATCGAGCGGCGAGGACGCCCTTGAGCATACATTCGTGCGTGTCTAAATCACGAGTGGGAAATGAAATATCGATCTCGTTATGCATACAACATGCACGGAAGACGGGGAAATAACAGACGGGAATCCTCAACCGACTAGTTTTAGGCTAGAACCGACTGCTACAGCAATTACCCAGTTGCTGAAACAGTGCCTCTATGTATTGTATATGTATATTGCACCACTAAGTTTGTGGTTATGGTGCACGACTTTTCTGCGACTGTCTAATCTGTCCCGTTGATTTTACTACGACCTTCGTTGGTAAGTATCCATCCAGCCGTGAGCTGAGACGCGTTTTTACTCGCCAGGTCTCTCCCTTTTGGCAATGTACGCAAATTACTAGCTTTCTTTTCAACTGATATATTCACGGAGGTACGCAGAAAGGAAAACACACATAGTAGTCATGGCATCTTACATGGATACCGGCATAAAAATCAGGTCCAACAATACACATGAGGCCAAACGCATCTGCCGAATCGTCTACCAACCAGTCACGTCCAAAGTCATTGTTGGAACGACTTGCAGGTCGATCCATCGGGCCTATGTAGTACACCGGGTGTCGCCAGCCACCTCAGGTCATCAGGTGGACCCACTGGCGCAGCGCGCTTCCAGACGGTCCAGGTCAACGATGTTGGACTCGGTGCCGATCTTCTTCTCTCCCGAGTGCGGGTGCACGCAGTAGCAGCTCGTGCCCGTGCACTGGGTGTGGTGGTAGTTGCCCAGCTCGTCACACTGCAGTGTGACGCCGAGCCTGCCGTCCTTCTGAATTTCGGCCTCTTCGATGGCGCAGTTGCACATCATGTTGTCCGTCTCCCAGCGGTTCTTGGAGTACCTGAGTTTCTCGCCGTGCGGGTCCACGCAGTAGCACTGCGACCCGGAGCACTGCTTGGGCAGAAACTTTCCGGCTGGGTCGCAGAGAGGCTCCTCGGCTCCGGGCGGCAGGGCTCCGTCGCAGCTTCTTATCTCATCCAGCTCCATCATCCGGGTCCAGCAGGGCCGTAGGAAGGGCGGACAGGCCTGTCCCGCCACCAGCAGCGGTAGACAGAGCGCCAGCAGAGAACGCATGGTGTCGCAGTGTCAGCGCCGCTCACACCTGATACCTCGCCGGGCCAGACACCGGGACTGCATGCCAGTCACGCCGGGACGGAACGTTTTTATACGAGCCGGGCCAGACACTGCCAAGGACGATTTGGTATTCGGAACTGATCGTCGCTTCTCGTGCGCAGTTCTCTCGGATACTGTGGAAAACCCGAGACTACCGCAACCGGTTTGGCTACCGCACAACGCTTGGGAGATATACAGCGATTAATGTATGCAAACCTGTCTGAAGGTGGGCGCGGCTTTGCCAATTATGTATTAACGCGCTGACTGGATGCATACATTTATATTATTACGAGAATAGAAAGACGTACGTCGTGCAATCATATGGGAATTCGTAACATATGTAAAAACACGGCCATTTTCTCCTCGAAGATGCGTGTACCCCACTAAAATTCATTGCCTAAATTGGGAGATATTGGCGCTTTGTGTGATCGGACTGTTCGGAATAAGATCAACAACGTTCAAAGGAAAATCTTTCATGATCTTTGCAAACCCCTACTTTTGTCTAAAATAAAGATACCTACAATGCAGTATCAAGATAAACGCTCTCGCCGGAAATACACAATGAACTATCTACCTTTGTCAAACTAGCTTCACATATATAAGTAATCTAACAGGGATTTTAATTTCATACTTATACCAAAGATCTGTGTGGACTGTGGATATGATAAATAATTATTCCTCCAAGAAGTAAAGCATTTCATTCGGTTACAACCTTGAGCGTGATTGTCAGTTTGGTTAGTTTATGTATTTGTGTTGAAACGATTATCTTTGATATTTAGTTTCTTGTGCGTAGATAAACTATAAAAACGTTTGAAATATTTGTATATTTTATTCGCACCTTCTGTTGCCTACGATAGACTTGGACAAATTCACTGAATGTCTAGATTCATTATCATCCTATAATATCGTATATGGTACAGTACATATGTATTTTATAAATGCCCATTATAAAAGAAGTATGTGCATGAAGAAATGCGCACATCTTGTGGTTCGATAAAAATCACTTCACAAAATATAAGTATCGAATATTGCCGACAGGACTTATGTATAGAATAACAACGGCAACACAGGATGCCACTAAATTGTCGGTTCCGTAGCAGCCAGCCAGTCAGCACGTTTGAGATAATCAGTCAGACCCGCCGCCCAACTACTATCCGCAGACCCAGCAGCCCTCGCCCCCTAGTTGGCGCCACTGGCACAGCGCGCCTCCAGACGATCGATGTCATTAATGTTGGACTCGGTGCCGATCTTCTTCTCTCCCGAGTGCGGGTGCACGCAGTAGCAGCTCGTGCCCGTACACTGGGTGTGGTGGTAGTTGCCCAGCTCGTCACATTTAATGGAAACGCTGAGCCTGCCGTCCTTCTGAATTTCGTCCTCTTTGAGGGCGCACTTGCACATCATGTCGTCCGTCTCCCAGCGGCTCTTGGAGTAGCCCAGCTGCTTGCCGTACGGGTCCACGCAGTAGCACTCTGACCCGGAGCACTGTTTGGGCAGGAAGAGGCCCTCTGAGTCGCAGTGCGGCTCCTCGGCTCCGGGCGGCAGCGCTCCGTCGCTCGTTCTTGAGTCGTCCATGGTGATCCTCTGTGCCCAGCACGGCCGGCGGGCACTGGCAGAGTCCAGCTGTGGACAGGCCTGCACGACCGCCAGCAGCGGGATACACAGCAGAACCACGGCTCGCATGTTGACGCTGCAGGAGAGGCTCTCCGAATGGATATCCGTTGCACGCACAGAGCTCTTTTTATACCGACACTGCGGAGAAGGATGGCGATGCGGAGAATGTGTTGACTTCATTGTTCGGGCTGGAGTTAGATGTAAACATCTCATTTCCGCGATTGTGCGCAGCGCTGTCAAGTTAAGTGGAAAAACGTAGGGCTCTAACCGGTTTTTGCTTATCAGTGATCAGGCGAAGAGATTTGTCGTCGCAGCGCATACTTATTATTGAGGAAGGGCCAGTTTCGTCGTCAAGGTGAACTGAACAGACATGTCGATAACTTTATCCTAGTCACTATTTACATGAGAATGGTTAATCCGCCTGAACGATGTTTTTAACCGAAACTATCATTTGATACAAAAGCGGGAATAAGTACGTACACAACACACGGCATTATTTTCGCACTAATCCATGATATTTGCCTGCCGGGGCTTGGGTACTGGATAGGGATAAGTCGATTTTAATTGCGGCTCACAAAATCGTCACGTACCAGTGACGTACCCGGCGTTATCCATCTGTTATATCTATTCCTTATAACCAAAATATCTACATAGTCCTGACATAACAAATTGTTTTCCAATCATAAAAACTTAATGCACGATTAGGTATCATAGACATGCTAACCTCGAACACGGATGGTGTTCTTATTAGTAAAGTAATCTTGGTCGTTCTCACGTTATCTAATCCATGCACGAGCTTAAATGTATTTGAGCGCTGAGCTGCCTGTGGGCCGTTTAATCCACGTAGCACCAGCCCACGGCTGTTTGTTTTCTGAAAGCGACTCACGTTTGAAGCAGTTCTCCTGTTTCTTGGGCGGCTCGACCATCTGCTGATACATGGTTGTTATCTGGTGCGTCTGTTCGGTGTTCCCGTGCTGATTTCACCTGCTCGCGAACTGAGCAGAATGTGCACCGTCGAGTGTCACCGACCGCACCGACCCTCGAGCACTGCACTCACTCGACAAGCGCACTGATTTACAGCAACACCTCACGTCCCCGTGACGGTAGGGAAAGATTCACAGCGTAAATATACCACCACGTCACTGCTCTGTCTCGCCCTCCCTTCGGCACTGCTCTCGCCCGATTCCCGTCACCATCTCACAGGCCCGAGGACCGTCTCAGTTCAGACCGCTCTGTGAGCGACCCCCTCTGACGGGGGGGGGGGGGGGTGACGTCCGGCCCGGCGGCACAGCTGGCCACCGGAGCCCCCACAGGTGTGGTCCAGCCACAGGTGCCCTAACACTGAACAGACAGCTCCCGGCGGGACGGGCCGGCCCGCAGCCGAGCGGCCGAGCCCGTGTCGGTGTGCACTGTTCCGTCCCGTGTGCACCGTTCACACACGATCACTGATAGGACGTTTGTAAAAACACGGTTCTCCTTGTCAATCACAACAGCATTCGTGTCTCCCTCGGAAGAATTCATAACCTATACATTTCCCTAATGAATACGTTAATCCGTATTGCTTCCAGTGTAGCCTCTCTCTTTCAATCACTTACCTTCTGCTTTCCGTTCTGTTTCCGGTTCGCACCACGACTTTTATTGTCCGTTTCAACCCGTCCCTCCCCCGGCCCTACCACTCATAAATCCCCAATCTGTCCCCTCCGCCCCCCCCCCTCCCCCAGGGTCACAGCTCGGTCACATGTGGCGCATCACTCATATCCGACACCTCCCTCACAGTCCCGCCACTCCCCATCCCCATCCCGAGCCGAGCCGGGCACTGCAGGTGTACTGCAGCGATCAGTCAATAAAGACCACCGCTACCGAAGCCCAAATAAATCAATATTGTTTTCACAGCCATGGCGCAGGTTTTGGTGTCTAAATTAGCCACGTAAAAATCTGGGTGAGGTTTTGAATGGTTCAAAAATGCTTATGCGGGTGGAGCCAACGTTGCTTCAATATTTTGACTAAGTTGAGCGAATTGCAGCACAATTATTGCCAATGCTTTGCAAGCTAATTTTCCTAGTTGACGGCGTGTTTCCTGAAAAATAAAGCAGCGCTTAGAGTCCCTTGCGAGCTTCGAAGGAGATTAAGTACTCCTTTTCAAATGCATGTCGCCTCTATCGTGCGCGAATTGCCTTGAAAGGTGCATTAGACATTTAAGTACCGAGCCGGGCAATAACAGTCACTATAAATGCGTGATGTTTATTATGACATACATATGAAAGGTTCACAGGGAACCTTCAGCACAAGTGGAGCAAACAAAATACGTAACGACTCCCTAGCATGGAGCACCTGCAAGGCTAGCATCTTTTGGTAACGTGGAATCACTCATTCAAAATAAACATATTATAAAGCAGAATGTCAAACTGAAACGTATTCAGTAAAACGCACAATATATCGCCTAAGCACAGCATCGGATGACTGATTCAATTCACAAACACGCTGTAAAGCACTTGCTAATGGTGACCCCGGCTTGTCTAGTCATATCACAGTGCAGGGCAGCATCCCCACTCTGAAATAGCGGAACAGAGGTCCCAATACTGCGTCACCAGCGTCCACCATCACACGCGGCGCTAGGAAGCTCTCCGAAAAGCGTATCACAATAGCTGACGTGGCCAATTGCAAGTTCGCCTGCATTTAGCGAACTGTGTAAACAAGCTAGTGTAAATAATCTCAATTATTTGATAACACAGTGACTACAGAGACAAGGGTCATTCATGTGGAGGTGATAACGTTCTAATATGTTGGTTATAACTGCTATTGCGTGCAAAATCACCCGATTACAAGTGATGTGGGTATGCTGCAATGTAACAATGAGCTATTGTCGATCAATGAACCCGGTACAACTGATATCCACCACTTTACTGGGCCCGGCAGTACGCGACTATCGAGATCCGGAGCGCTGCCACTCAGCAGCTACCCTCCCATCCCATACTACTATTCCCGGTCCGCCCCTCGTCACTCCCGCGCCGCATCTGCCGCGCGCAGCCGCTCAAACTCGGCGTGCAGGTCGGCCAGGTTCTGCTCAAACAGCGCCAGCTCGTCGTACTTGTGCGAGCTACGCGCCTGTCGGATGTAGCCGCGCACAATTTCCATCTGCTGCAGCAGCGGGTCGGCGGCCGAGGGCGCGGCCACCGCCGGCGGGCTCCAGCCGGCGTCGAACTGGACGCGGCCCGCCGCCGAGACGGGACTGACGCGGCGGACGGAGGAGGCGGGGCGCGGCCGGCGCGAGGCCGCCTCCTCGGCCGCCGCCGCCGCCCTCAGCCGCTCCTGCTCCTCGGCCAGCTGACGCTCCTGCTCCTCCCTGGAAACACAGGAGACGGGATCTCAGTGGGCGGCGGGGAGGAAAGCGATCGGTTGGCCGTTATAGGGGGCGAGTACAGGGGACAGGCAGGCTGAGACGGGGAATGTCACGACTCAAGGCGCCAGGCGTTGGCTCTTTATCGGCACAGGGAACCAACGAACTTAAGTCCTAGCTACAAAATGGCACAAATATTATACCAAGATGATTATAAACAGATGGCTCCAAAATGAAGACATGAAATTAAAAAGAAACCGGAGTAAAACGAAACTTTCAAGATCCCCCAATAACCGTGAACCGTGAACATACACTACTCCATCCCGCCGCTGTTGCACCAACTCACTTCAGCTTGGCCTGCAGCTCCTTGAGCTGCTTCTCGTTGGGCAGCTGTGGAAGGCTGATGACCTCCTCCTTGAGGAAGGCGCTGGCCGCCGAGCGCAGGCGCGCGCGCAGCTGCCGCTCCCACGGCGACAGGTCGTCGTTCTCCGTGCCCAGCGCATTGATCCGCTTACTGTGCCAGAGAGGGGGTCCGCAGTGAGTGATGGAGATCCGTTTACAGGTCAGTGATTAGTCGAAAATGATGATGATGTAAATGAAAGTGAAGTGATTAGATGTAAATTAAATGAACGGTGAATGACAGTGACTAGATGACCGAGATATAATTTATGGTCGTCAGAAATAACGACACTGCTTACAGAACGATCTTGTTACGACCGAAACCCCCGACCTGTCTCCACTGCATATTGATCGCTAATGAGACCTCGTCTATGCACCGGTATATGCGGAGGATTAGACTTATTACTGGGGCATGGCTAATGGAACCCAGTGGACTCCCTCCCGCACAAGGATTACACGACGACGTATTATATTACCGACCGCATACAGCCGGTATTGGGGCTCGGCGACATCATGTTCTTTTCGCGGCTGTTAAGCCGTGTCTAACGCACCTCATTCCATCGACGCGCTCGGCGGTGGTCAGTATTTTGACGCGTATACTGTTGGCGTCCGAGAGGTGATATCGAGTTTCACCGGCTCTGAAACGAAATAAATAGTGTCATCGGAGAGAAGTAATATGGAAGTTTGAAATCCAGAACTGGTCAGAAGCGGGATGTGACCGAAAAGTGTCAACGATAATGAATCATCAGTTAGGCAATAGGGCAGAGCAATTCAAAGTCCACAGAGTAAGAGCTAGGACAGTAATCCATGAAACAAAATGCGCCTGCTTTTCAGACGGTCGCCGAGCATACTCAGCTGACTGCCTACTGCAATATTTATTAACAATGCAGAGTAAGTACATCAAACTTAACCCTCGCATGTGTAGGGGGAGGGTCGGATGGACCCCCATGGTTTTTCGCGAATAACTCGCGCAAAAAGCGGCCGATCGCGACGAAACTTTCAATACCTTCGAGTTGATCAATTTTACACCTACTCTGAAAATTTCATGACCCTGACCCAAGTGACCTTTGACCTGTGACCTATCTCTCGAGGCCATGTTTGGCCGGAATCGCGATTCGGCGTCTGTCGGCTCGCATTAGCCGCGCGTTTGCAAGCTTTTCGTGGTTTCAAACGTTCAAACATGTGATTCGATGTTGCTCCCATGCATTAGGGTGGATGTCAAGGTCACCTGAAGGTAAGGTCAGGTCACTGACCTTTGGTGACCTCGGTTCGCTTTTCCGAGTGTTACATGTTTCTAGGCTAGTTTTTGCAGCTGAATTCGACTTTAGAAACCATTTGAACATTTACGAAGTAGTTTTGGTGCCTTCGTAACATGTTACGAAGCTGCCAGAGGCGGTTGACACCTACTACCAGTAAAACGCCTTTTGGCCGAAGAACGAGCGAGCGAGATAGTGAGCCCTGCACGTGCGGAAGGGCGAAAGGGTACTTCCAACGGGCTTGTGCAAAGCACCCTGCTAACCGGTCGCTAGCGGTGTACCAAATTTGAACGCAATCGGCCCAGCCGTTCCTGAGATCTGGAAGCGGCATTCTGCACGTGCGCACGTGCAAACGGGGTCCAAAATGACTTTTGCACGGCACCCTACTAACCGGTCACCAACCGTGTACCAAATTTGAGCGCAATCGGCCCAGCCGTTCTCGAGATCTGGAAACGCCCCCTGCACGTGCGCACGTGCAGTAGCACCCTAACCGTAACACATGGGAATGCAATGCCTGGTGGGTGCCTACCTGTAAGTCAAGTTTCAGCAAAATCGCCCCAGTAATTACCGAGTTACTGAAATGGGAACAAATTTGGCACCTCTTCTTTTTGTATTTTGCACGTGCAGTGGGGGTCACTCACATAGATCAAGAGTATCCGACCTTTGGTAGAAGGGATGCAGCTACCCTATAAAAATTACCGCAAGACAATCGCTCAAGCCACTGCTGAGATATGGGCCTCTCAAAAATCACTACTTTTGCAAAACTGCTTGAACACCCTTGACTTTTCACGTGGCACGTGCCACGACGGTCACTGAGATGTATCAAAAGTAGTCAATTACGGGGTAGAAGGGATGGGGCTACCCAACAAAAAAGACCGCAGGCCAATCGGTCCAGCGGTTGCTGAGATATAAGCCTCTCAAAAGCGTTACAGGCCGGGCCGGGCCGGGACGCTCATACTGAGATTTTTCCGTTATATTGAAAAGACTTCGCTTCGCTCGCTGCGCTCGCTCGCTCATAACGAATACCCGTCACGACCCCTACTGGCTGACCTGACCTGACCTGACCCGACCTGGTCTAAATGCTTAAAGACATCATCTATGATCAAAACTAACACGATATTCGTGATTAGCACCCCGAAAAACCTCATAGCAGCCACACCTTACGACTATCTACCAGGTCCCAATTTTCCCGACTTTTGGGTCATTGACCTGACCTGGAATGTCAACCAATCCTGACGGGGACCAACCGTCTCCTGACGGGCAACACGCTCGTTTTTTTCTGCGAAACTCTAGCTCGATCAGGGGACAAACGGCAAGGGGGTCCAACCGACCCTTCCCCCCCCCCCCCCTACACGTTAGAAGCTGGCAAACGCCGCACACATGCGACGGTAAAAGCTAGAATCCGACATTTGTGTACTTATGCTTTCTCTTTTTCCGTCCAAGACACGCAGCCCCCACCCCACACGCATTACTCACAGTAGGCTCTCGAGCATTTTGTTGTGCATGGGGATGAGCTCCCTGATTTCCTTCTGGTAGCCGCGCATCTGGTTGTAGAACTGGACGATGATAGGCTCGGAGCTCTGCTGGTCCAGCTGGTACTCCCGGTGAGATAGTTTCTGTCGACGGAGACGGGACATAATCGGTGATGTGGTGAAATGCTGCGATCTATTGCAAGCTTCCTTGCAGAAATAGGCATGACAAAGCAGTCTTTAAGCAGACATGACAGAAACAGACATAGGAAGTATCCATCGTCTTCCTAGCCTCCTCCCAGTGCCAGCTGATAACAGAGACCACATCCTGCCTCCCAAGTCCCAACACCCCACAATCATATCCTACGGTCCCGTCACACTCTTCCACAGACTCACAGCGCCACACTCCCCTGTACCCTCTCCTCGCACCTGATCGCCGTGCCTGCAGATGCGCAGCGGCTTCTCCTATAATCTCCCCTATTCCCCCGTACCTGATCGCAGTGCCGGCAGATGCTCCCCCTATTCCTCCCATTCCCCCGTACCTGATCGCAGTGTCTGCAGATGCGCAGCTGCTGCTCGCCCGTCACGGCGTCTACCAGCGACACCATCGAGTTCAGACTGCCCACTGAGCCGGAGCGGCGCAGCAGACCCAGCGGACGCTTCTTGGACCACAGGCTACTGGAGGGGTCCGGGTCGGCCGGCGCGGCGCCTACCGTCGGCGGCACCCAGCCGGCAGCCGGGGACGGCAGCGCCAGCTTCTCTGGAGCGCAGAGGGCGGGGCACATGTAATGTAGAGGTCAGGCCACACGCAGAACAGCGGCGGTGTACAGGGTGAATCACAGAGGACAGTTCCATGTGTGAATGCAGTGAGCTCTGAAACATTCGCTGACGGGTCGAGTTTCAGGACGCCTTTACCCTGCTAAAACCACGCTACCGTCACTACAACTACCAGGAAATGACCATGGTAAACACAGTCCCGCTGGCCTATCGGAGTCACGTGACCACCCGCGATCACCCCTGCCGACTGTGGACAGTGTTTACAGGACAAGTGTCCACATCCACAGCGTCCCCGCACTCACGGCCGCGGCTGGCGCAGAGGAAGGTCGAGCAGCGGGCGCACATCACGAAGCCGCACAGCCGACAGTGGTGTTTGCGGCGCGTCAGGCCGAACGAGCGGCCGCAGTCGGGACAGAGGTTGATGGCGTCGTCCTCCACCCAGGCCACCACCGAACGCTCATGGGCTGACGGAGGGGGTGAGGGAGGGGGTGGGAGCGGTCAGAGCGCCGCAACAGGATCGGTGAACGGCTTACCGTTATAATGATCGGGATAAAATTATGTACCGTCTCACCACACAATCACCAAGATCAAAGAATATATTAAAGACAATACTTATATCTTATGATACGTTGATTCATGTAACAATATAATTTTCAATACAATCAGAACTTGCCTTCACGTACGAATGCCAATTTATCAAACGTAGCTAAAAATCCATGATTTTAGGTCTGTTTCATCATAGAACAATGTATCGTACCCTTGCGTTTGACGGGGTCTGCCGGCAGCTTGGTGAGCAGCTTGTCCAGCCGGATGATGAGCTTGTTGGTCTCCCTGGACAGGTGGTCCACACGTTCATCGCGCACTCTCTTGAACAGCGTCATGTGGCTCGTGGTGACACCTGGAATGATGGCCATAGTCAGCAAACAGTGCAGATAATGGTAGCGAACATGTCATCGTTCTTTTGTGTTCCCTGTATGGTAAAATATGTTATTCGGTTGGGCTTTTAAGCAGGATTGTATGAGAGGCTGGCCATGAAAACATGTCTCTAAATCAGAGAATTCCCCTCATGATAGTACAAACAAGATCAGGTGTTTCATGTGGCAATTTTATACAGACATGTGCAAAAATGTACTGTTGTTATAATTACGACAGAAGCATGTACAAGTTAAACACACTCACACAAACATACCAATATCTTGACGAACTCTCTCCAGCGGCCTGTATTTGTAGGTTCCCTGAGCAGCTGGCTGGTAATCAGAAACCTCACGCTTGATCCTCTGCTTTGCCTTTCCGATAAAGTCTGTAAATGAAATAAAACACATTGTATTTATACAATATTCACAGGCTCATATCTCAGGATTTGCTCAATGTCTTCGTAAATCTAGTTCGATTATAATAAACAGCTAGATTTGCCAAGACAATGCCTACACGTCAATGGAGCATCCAGGGTTGGCAGAGGGTGGCAAAAACTGGTTGTTGCCAGTGGTTTTAACCGGTTTAAACCGGCTGGCAGAAACCATGGTGGCAAAAACTGGCAGAAACTGGCAAAAACTCAAGTAGCCAAAACTGCGTTGTTTGCCTAAAAAACAATCGGTTGAAATGTACAAAGTCATGTCTGTCATTGGGACCCAGTAAGCATTGTCTCGCTAGTTTACCGCTGCTTAAAATGTCTGTCGGTAGTCAATAGATGTCCACCGGGAAGTGCACTTTCATGCATCGCTGTTGGTGTGCTTCTGCACATGAGCATATGCAGGAGTCGTTTCCGACCAGACCTCGAGAATGGCTGGGTCGATTGCGCTCAAATTGGGACACCGTTAGGGACTGATTAGTAGGGTGTCGTGCATAGTCGGTCGGGGTCCATTTTGCACGTGCGCACGTGCGGGGTGACGCTTCCAGATTGGGAGAACGGCTACGTCGACTAAGCACAAATTTGGCACTGACACTGTTAGGAACCGGTTCGTAGGGTCCGGTGCACAAGTCAGTGGCAGATGCCCTTTCCCACTTCTTCAATACTCGCCGCCCGCCGGCGCACTTTCTCATTTGTCTCACCAAAAAGGCGCCTTATTGGTTAATTATAGAGGACTCACGGAACTATTTAACACTAAAATGGTCAAGATACCACTTCTGTTTGAAAGCATATTGTATTGACTGAATCCTACTTTAAACGTGTCCTGCTCAAACGCATGTAGAGGCATAGCGTTTTGACTGTTTTAGTTTTTGCCAGTTTTTGCCACTTTATGCCGGTTAAAACCGGTTTAAACCGGCAAATGGCAAAAACTAGTTTTTGCTGGCAAAAATGCCAACCCTGGCTATGCTGAGACTCCAGGGTGGAAATCCAGGGTGGAAAACAGCACCCTGGAAATCCAGGGTGTTGTTTGGTCAACATTTTCTTATCAGCAGGCTGCTAGCCTGCTGCTGTTCCTTGGCTTGGCATTGGTCAAGGTCATGTAGGTAAGTCATTATGCAGTTCACTAAAGAGAGCCAAGAAATGCCAGTGATGAACTTCCTTATATGGGAAAACTGGCAGTAGGTGTGCTGATAAAAAATGGTGACAAAACAGCACTCCAGATTAAGTGTAAGATTCACTTATTGAAACCAAGGCTTGGCATGTCCATATAGCCTGACATAGCCTGCCCCTACCTACCTTCTCCATCATAATAAATAAACAGCAACATTTAATCTTGATCAAGTCCATTAAAAGTTGGGAGTAGGACACTATCCAGAAACAAGGTGTTGTACCATCTCAAATATAAGATGGGAAAGTATAATCCCATATATCAAAGTAAGCAATTGCCCTGCAGAATTAGGAATACTTTACCTCTCAATGACTGTTTGATGAGTTTATCTTCCTGATGACTATTGTTGAAATGAGCCTGGAGTTCAGCAACCCCATGCAAATTCTTCATGCACACAGGACAGATAAAGCCCTCTTTCACATCAGATACATCCATGGTGTTGCTGAAAATCAAAATGTCAATGATGTGTTATGAAGCATGAAGGTACATCATTGTCATGTGTATGAAACATCTTTTAACAAGGTTTAACCAGGTTTACATCTATGTTATCTTGATCTGTGACACTTGGCAATGCTCTGTTTTCATACCTATCATACCTATCTGTTTTCAATGTATATTTAAATGAATTAGTGTTCCAATTTCCAATTTCCATGACTGCATATTGTGCTCTGATTATGATCATGTTACTGTCCGCATCTTTATACTCTTGTTGCCTCATTTGTTTGGTGCTCGTGGACTCACTAATCACTTTCCTATTTGAATGTGTTCTCAAATCTCAGTCTCCCCAATCTGGCATCTTCCTGGGACGCCAAGCTCACTGATACTTGTATTTAGGGCCTTGCTGATACTAATGACTTGAACTTTCATTACCTTGACCCATAGGCGCGGGAGCCGGGGGGCAGTGGGGGCAGCTTGCCCCCCCAACTCTGGGGCCGTGGGGGCACCGCCCCCACAGCTTTGAGACGGAATACCACACTTTTTTTGCAAATGTTTTCTTTTTTTGTTGAAAAAGCCGAGGGGTGAAAAATAAGTGGCCTAAAACCGGTGAGAAAACTAGATTTGGGGGTACCCTAGGTTGATCTCTATTATGGTCTGCCCCCCCAGTCGGAAAGTAGTTCCCGCGCCCCTGCCTTGACCTATTCAAAGGTTGGCCTGTCTATAGTGCTCTTTATACTGAAATGATGCTTGCCTGCCTAGGCCGAATCCAATTTTTTAACAATTACCCTATTACACTTTAAAAATCCAGCTTAATTATTGTCGAAATTATCGCATAAATAAAATATACCTAACTGTCACAATTCTCCTCTCTCCCACGCCCCTCTTCAGGCACACAAATTGTTTGTTGAGGCACCAATGAGAAGACGAACACCACATTACAACGCTGCAAAAGTAAAACATCGATTAAAAACATGTGAGGAAGATATTCAAATGTGTCACGGATTTCATTGTCAATTGTTATGGAATATCGGAAACAAATCGCTGGTTTAGTATGAGTTTGTTCATTAAAATACGTTATATTTCTTAGAAAGGTGATCGCCATTTCGTACCCATGACAGTAAAATAGCTTTCCACTTTGTAACTGACCGCCACACTTGTAGTTGAATTGGCGCGACTGAGACATTCCTCCTCTCTCCCTTTCGAGCCGGGCGCGCACGTTGCGTGACACGTGGTGCTCGATTTTCCATATATTTGAAGGCTTACGGTGAGTAACCGTGTTTTTATCGTTAAAACCAATCATTTTGTAGCTTGATGCATGTTGTTTATTGATTCGCTTGCTGAATTTGTACGGTTTTGGTCTTCGCTTCTTGACGAGTTTCTCTAAGAAATATCATGATGTAAGGGAAACTTATGTAGGTAAATGAAAATTTGGGGAACATACAATTTGTCTCCAATTAAAAGGGTGGGGTCGCCATTTTTCCTTGCAGATAGGTTGAATGACTAATTGTGATCTAGGCTTAACTTTTTTATTTTTGTCATTTAACAAAGACAAGAATATGGCACGGAATTCCACAACTTGTTTATAAAAGAGTGTGTATTCCATTCCCTGAGTACCTATATGCCAAATTTGAGGTAAATGTTTTGATCAGTTTCAAGATTTTCAGATTTTTCACCTCTCATTGGCCATGAGCCAGTCTGCAAAAGGTGGCAGGGAGCTTGACGAGATTTTCGGGGCAGAGAAAATTCTGCCCTGAATCAGGGTGCTGAGAGCCCCGTTGCAGCCCAATTCTTGTTCCCAAATGGGATAATTGTCCCAGGGCAGCCCAGCTCCCATCTTTTTCTTATCTCTGCCTCGGGATTTCTCATTCCTGCCCCGATTTCTGCCCCGATTGTGACAGCTGCCCCGACGAGATCTCGTCAAAACCTGCCATGTTTTTCAGCCAGGGCCATGAGCAATGCAACGTCAAACTGAAGATAGTGGCAAATGATTCTACATTTCGATCTGATGGCAATAAAGCCTTTCAAAATGGATTCAGTCAGGCCCAGGGTATTGGCAAATCCAGGAAGCTGGTCCTGGATGCTGCGGAGGCATAGGTACCTCCTAAAAGTTTCTCTAAATTTTGAAAAGTAATTGTATTTTGAATCCTTATGCACTGCTGTGCAGTTTAAATTAAACTGCTCTAGATTAATAATGTTAGGTTTCAGTAAAACCACAATTTTTTCTTTTATTTTGGGCACTGCAGGGGACATTTTCCCCAAATTGCCCTCCCTGGGTCTGTCAATCATTCAGGGTGTAAACAATGATCATGTAGTGCAAGGCTATAATAGTTAATGCAATAGTCAAATAGTTCAAGTTTTACCAACAGAAAAATGGCCAGCTGCAGTTTTTTGCCCAATATTAGGCACCCCTAATTTTCCTCATTTATTGCTCTCATTTCAGGAACCAACAAAGCAATGGCAGACCAAAACAATACCTTTTGGGGGCTGATTCTCCAGCCGGGCAAACGGTACGAGCAGGTGGTTGAAAAGTCCTTCCATGTCTCTATGGCCGCGCTGGACATATCCGGCGGCAACGACAAGGCCACCGTGCAGGTGATGATCAACGTCGACGGCCAGGAGTTCATCCTCTGCCACCTGAACAAGAACCGCAACCCGCAGCAGACGCTCGACCTCAACTTCCAAGGCGGAGACTCACTGGCGCTATACGTCGATGGGCAGTCGCCCCAGCCGGTCCACCTCACCGGCTTCTACAACGAGATGGACGACGACGACGACGACCTGGCGGGACTGGAGATGAGCGACGAGTCGGACGAGGAGGATGTGCCGGCTCTGGTTCCCGCGGAGACCGCCTCGGCCAAGAAGAAGAAGGCCGTCGAGGCGGGACAGGGAGATATTGAAATTCCCGTCAAGAGGAAAGGATCACCAGTAAAGGAGAGCCCGCAGAAGAAATCCAAGCTGCAGAATGACGTTAAAGTGCAGGAGGACGAAGACGACGACGACGACGATGATGACGAGGACGACGAAGATGATGAGGACGAGGGAGAGGAGGAGGAAGATGAAGATGGCGAGGATGAGGAGGTGGAAGAGGGATTCAGCGACGAAGACGATGACGATGATGACGAAGATGATGACGAGGACGATGACGACGAGGACGATGATGATGAGGATGAAGACGACGATGATGAGGATGAGGATGAAGAAAAGGTGGATGAACCTCCCATCCCACTTAAGAAGACCAAATCTCCTGCAGCAAAGAAGGAGGAAGTCAAGGCAAATGGAGTAGCCAAGGCGGAAGACACTCCAAAGAAGCAGAAGAAGGGTGCTGAGCAGACTCAGAAGACCCCCGTTCAGGAGGAGAAGAAGAAGGCCGCCCAGACGCCCAAGTCGGCCAAGAAGACGATCGCTGGCGGTGTGATGATCGAGGACCTTATCGTCGGCGAAGGCCAGGTGGCAAAGCGCGGTCGACCAGTGTCAGTCTACTACGTCGGGCGGCTGAAGCAGAACAACAAGCAGTTCGACCAGACCACCGCCGGGCCCGGCTTCAAGTTCCGGCTGGGCGCCAAGGAGGTCATCAAGGGCTGGGACGTCGGCGTGGAGGGCATGAAGGTGGGCGGCAAGCGGCGGATCACGTGCCCGCCGCACATGGCGTACGGCGCCCGCGGCAGCCCGCCCGTCATCCCGCCCAACAGCGCGCTCGTCTTCGAGGTCACGCTGAAGAACGTCCACTGAGCGGCCGGGGAGGATCTGAGTGAGACGTGCGCGCGATCGAGAGTGTTCACATGCATCGTTAAACATTTCACCGAGCCGTCTGGCGAGTGGCATCACGCCGCCTTTCCATGGACGTTGGATTCCAGTTGTGAGATGCCGATGCGTTGTGGTGTTGTGTGTTGGCGTGTGCGGCAGAGAGGCGCCAGAGAGCTGTTCCCGTTGGAAGGGTGGGTTTAACTGAGTGATTAAGGACGTCCCTGACTGCGCCTTGTGAGTGATGCTTCAAAGGTTACGGTACATGTCATTGCATTGAGCTGCCTGATCGGTTGTTGTGTGTAGATGGATGCCGTGAATCTTTTGGAGCGTTTTATCGGGTATTTTGTGAACGCCTTGGGTAAAACGAATTACAACAATACATTTGATGACCATGTTTTCATGTCCCTTGTTTTCTTGGATGATTGTTATGAGCAGATCGATAAGCTGTCTCGGTGATTGGTGTAACGCGCAGATGGCGCGCAGATGTGAAAGTGGATGCTGGTAGGTGTCGCCCTTATCAATTGGCGGAGAAGTGTAGGCTACTGGTGGGGGCACTGGTGATGGTGAACCTGTACACTGTGCAGGTACTGGTGGTAGCCTCAATGGATTGTCTCGTACACCGACTCCTAAGCTCGCACTGCGCCAGGCGGGCAGGTCACGATAGTCTGTAAGTAACGCGCGATAGAACGGACACAGAAACCCAGGGGCAGGGCTCAGTCGGTCCGATCATGTGGCCACGAGGCGTAGCAGCAAGCAGATTACGACACGTATCACATTGTTTGACGAGGCTCGCACAGGTTCACCGTACGGTGGCTGCTATGGGCTCTGTTCTACCGCTCGCCATACCCTCAACTTATGTCTGCTCGAAAGAGGTTAGGAGCTTTCTGTAGCTATCGGCACTTGCAGTGCAGATTTTACACATCGCAGCGATGGCATTTGTCTGTATCCTTTATTAAAGGGACCCTCCCACCTTCAAAAAAGTTAATGAATTGGCACGAAAGTGATGTCGCTCGGTTCAGAAAGAGCGAAAACGAATATCTACCAAATTTCATCGAAAAATATTCACCGGTTTTCAAGATATTAGGCTTTTACTTTTGTTTACTTTTTGGGATCTCCGCTGTTCCTAGCGACTTTATTTGAAAGTGCGGCATTTGTTGCGCGCAAAGCAGCATATACCACCGCGTGCTACCAAACGTTTTAGTAAAAGATTTAAAAATCGTTAGATCTCCGCTGACGTCACAAATTCTAAGGGGGCATACCAATGCACTAGCCCCTTAGAATCCGAAAACTGCAAGTTTGAAATTCCATATCTCCGAATTAAAGCATTTGTCGATGTTGTGAGTGCCCAAACCGGTATTTGCAGGCCATGGCCACCAATTTGGCTATCTCAACTAAAAACTAATGTTAAGGTGGGAGTGTCCCTTTAAATGCGAATCCTTTCACATATGTATGTAACGGCTCCTATGCCTTGATTTATTTACCGCTGACATTGTTTATTTGCTGTCGGTGAGGGGGACGTACCCTGGACGATGCGTCACCCATCAGACCCGGTAGCCCGGACCCCGGTAAATTTACCGCGTCTCCCGCCGCTGGCCTGCCGGATACCTACACACATCCGGGCCGCAGCCGGCAGCAGCGACTGCTGACACCTCTCACACGTGGGTGACGGCCTGTGGGCCGGTCCAGCGCGCGGCGCCGGGCCTCGCCGCTCCTGACTGGTCCACCGGTCACGTGACTGGCCCACTGGATGAAGGCCACTGGGCGCGTCCCGCCGCGCGAGTCGAGCGGTCCGGTCCGCGCTGCGAGAGACCGCCGGCCGCCGGGCCAGTCAGTAGTACGCCGCACGGCTGGCGGGTTGCCAGCACGTGTGATCGTGGCCGGAGTGCCGTGCGCGCGGTGAGGCACACCCCGCACACGTGCGACGAGGGTGTGAATTGTGATTTGACCACGTGGTTGTGAGCTGTTGGTGACGGGCTGGGAAGTTGTGTGAGTGATTTGGAGTGACATCGATAGCAGAGTGAGCGCAGCAGTGACCAGAAGCAGCGAGAGTACTGGCCAGTGACGGTGAGCGTAAAACGGGTAACGGCACTCAACAGCGAGCGTAGTGACCGTTGCACTAACGAGCAGCATTCCCACGGGAGCGGCGGGCGTGCCGGCTTTGACTCACTCGACGGTTGTGAAACGTGTTTGTTGAGTTGACCGACGGTAACTGGCGCCGTCGTGCCACCCATACCTGAGACGTGCTGTCAGTGGTGTCCCAGTGGGCCCAGCGGGTGGCGATTGAGCGATCACGCGTGCTGGCTAGTCTGATGTGGAAGTGAAGTGTCGGTGAACCAGAGTCTGGCTGTGAGCTGACGGTGTGACCGGCTACAGGTGACCATGTGACGCCGGCCGCCCCGCCCACCCGGAGTCATGGAACGGTAAGCACTCTCCGGGTCACGGGGTCAGCACGCCCACCCTCCCCCACGGTCCGGCCTTCAGTCGGCAGCAGAAGACCGTAACACACGCCGGACACTACAACCACTGCTAACACCAGTCGCCTGTCCCTCTCCGTGCCGTACCCTGTTTGAGTTAACTTGTTGCGAAATGGTACACGGGGCAGTGATCTCAATCTCTGCCGTCGGCTAGATACAGGTGACTGTCACTTCTGTCCCGTATCATAGTGTCGGCTGCTACCTTCTGCCTGGGCGAAGACTACTGTCCTGTCAAATAAGCTTCTCTCATACCGACTTTGGACGGACGTAGCTATCGTTTCGGTCCCGTCCTGCCGACTGAGACGGAGCTCAGTGTCGCGGGCCGGGCGGTATCACATTCTCGAGGCCGACCTCCGTTATCGTGGCTCGTGTCTGATCAGATCGACACTCGGAAAGGCACGTGGTGTGGGGAGGGCACCCGGCGGTATTGTCGTTGGACGAGTCTCCCCGGTCCTCCATCCTCAGCTGGCTTGTTTGTCTCTGTTGCATCATTATTTGTTCATGCCGGCACTCATTCTCTTCGTAATTCTTTCCACCTTCTCAATGAAGATTGCAGCGGTGGGTGATCCACAGAGCCAGGGCCTACATAATCGCTATTCAACGTGCACACATCGGTGGTAGGGATATTTTTAGTGGCACTGTTATCTGCGGTGAGCATCCAACATCCGTTTTGATTCAACAAAAACAGCATACAGTTACACGGCAGCAGATGCTCGGCTTGTAAAAGCGCCCCGTCCCCACAATCACCTCAATCTCCATTCAGCCCGGTTCCTGCCGCCGCAGGTGACACCTGCCGCCGCAGGTGTCTGCCGGGGTTTGGGCACATCCCGGTATCGACCGCAACGTCGGTGCTATGGAGTTGCGGTGCCTATGCGCTGTGCAGCACATATTGCACAGTGCATATACTGCATACAGTTCACATACAGCGCAAAACTCTTATTGCACAGCATGCGCATAGGAAACCACGCAGCGCGTAAACTCGCCTCGATAGCTCGCCTCGCTCGCCTCGACCCACGGCGCACATGTCATATTCGTATAATGTGCTACATACATACCGATACAGCAATGCGCTTTCAGTCTCACACCCGCACAGTAGGTATACAGAAAAGGCAGAGTGCGCACTTTGTAGTGTACAGAGCACAGTGCTCGAGGCGCACAGCACAAGGCGCACCAATGGTGTACCGATGGCACACCGTGCCCGCTGCATGCTGCACGGTGTGACCGCGTCCACGGCCCGTCTTTATGGACGGTGGCCGGCCGGCCGATGCCGTCACGGGACCCCGTGGGTCCCCGGGATTAGACTTTCGCCCGTCCGTATATGGCGCCGGGCGACGGTCGTGGCTCAGCTGTGGGCGGATTGGGCGGCGGATGTCCCGCTGAGGCGGGCAGCAGTGAAGAAGGGACCGCGGGCGCTCGTGGCTCCACGCTCTGTGGTGTGCAGGGTGCAGACGATGACCTCGAGGTGCTGACCGGCGCGGGGTGCTAAGTCCCAGGTCCCGCAGGTGAAAGGTGCACGGAGGAGAGGTCATCTCCTACTGCCGCCCGTGGGTAACGCGACAGCCAGTGTGCAGTCAATAGGACCCTCTGTGACTTGAGATGTTGGGAGGTAATTTATTGTGAATAAACTCAATCATGCTTCCTAGAAGCAAATTGAAATCAAACTGAAAGTGCTGTAAATCAGGCCTGCATTACAATGAAACGGCTCGTTCGAGCGTCGGAGTAATTAAATGTATGGAGTCAATTCAGACTGACTCGGCGATACGCCTCGTTATATAGCTGTTTATGACTCTGTGATTATTGCGATGGCTGGTGAATCAAACCACTGCAGTTTGGGGTACCGACAAAGCCTTAAACAATTTAAGTTTACGGACTTGATAAATCCATCGAATGGTTTCAACTCCAATAGATATAGTGCTTATTGCAAATAGGATTATCAAACATTGCTTTCAAGCCCAAAGGACTTCTCGGTAGATACTAAAGTTGATGCAAAAAACAACTCTCAAATCTCAGGACGGGGCTCCCCTGACTGTCAACAACCACCATGCGATGGTTGCTGTTCAATAATTAAATCTCTCAGCGGGAGTCTTCTGTGAAACACACTTATTGCCGGTTTGTAGTGAATTATGATATTGGAGTTAGCGTTCTCTGAATTCTCAGCACCATTTCTGATTTGTCTTTAGCCTACAATGAATTTAGGTCCTGGTCCTGGAAAGAAACTAGCGCATTTATTCCTGACCGTAATGCGGGTTTATTGTGGAATCTGTCGGAATATGATGCTCTCTCAACTGTCGTACCGCACGCTTTTTATCATGTCCTGGAAACTTGTTCATTGTTGCACGCTCATTGCAGCATCCAGTTTTCGCTTCACGCTGTAAACAATTATAGCCGCTCACGTGTGAGTGTCTACCGCACTGGACGTGTGATTTCACGCCGCAGCACGGCTGGCTGCGAGCGTGCCGTATTCGGGTGAACCGCGCCCCCGCGTGATGACGCGGGGCGCCGGTCCGTGCAGCCGGGCGCCGCGCCGGCGGAATCCGCCGCGGAATCACAGCGGAATCCGGGTGTGGAGACCATCCTCTGACGTCAATTGTGAAATGTTTTATCATTTGTGCCTCGGTGAAGCTGGGCTTAGCCCTGGCGGATAGCTTATTTGGAGGAGGTATGGAGCCAACACATGAAAGTCGTTGATGCGATGAAGAAGGCACTCCTTTCTCTTACATCAGTATTCAGTTATCAGGATTAGTCGATAATCACTGTTGCAGAATCGAGTGGCTCGGTCTACCTATGCTTTGATATTCTTGTTTGTCGAACTTCTTTTGTATGTTTTTATAAAGGTGGTGCTGAGCTCATACAACGTAATTCCTAGCATCAGCTTAATCACTCCATCTCTCTTCATGATCACGAATGTTAAGACGATGGCCCTATT